TGTTTGGACAGTCAACAAACATTTACTATTCATTTTCTATGAACCAGACCCTATGTTTCTGCTGTGATATATAGATTTTAAAACATGTTACCTCCTTTTAAGAAGGTCACAGTCTAGTAAGAGAAACATGAATAGATAATTACAGTTCCTGTGATTAAATTATCATGGAGCCTAATATGATAATTTTTGCAATACACTTAAAGCAGATTTGCAAGCAGATAGATGAGTCTTATTAATTTATACTTTTATTAAACCTCCAAATATCTGTTTGAAAAAAAAATTCAATGGCTCCTAGGAAAATAGTAAAAAATTAAAAGTGAATGCAAAGTAGCCAAGAATGAATAAAGGACAGAAATGAGATATCTCAATTGTAGAGTTAGGAGTCCAATTTCAAAACAATATAAAAGTACTGAAACTTAGATATATGCATATTTTTAAAAACATTGAGAGAAGTTGGTCTCAAAACAATGTTTTACACAACTCCTCTATTTGAAGCAGAAGGGCACTAATGAAATTGCCTATTCAGAATGTCATAAATAAGAGCAAAATATCTTTCGATCCTTAGGTATCAATTTTCCACATCAATCATCCCTGTTTTGCTGGAAAACTAACATTGCTCTATAACGTTTTTCCCATTCCCAAGAAATTTCAGTTTTGCACAATATAACTTCAGAAATAACCATCAAAAATAAAACTGATTTGATTATATTCAAGATTTCTAAGACTGACTAAATAAGCACTTTATAGAAATAGCTCATTTTATAAAGTTCTGATGTTTTCTTCTGCTTTTCTTCTTACTCAATAGAAAAAATATTGACCATGGAAAATAAGTAATAGACTGTATTTGGTTTTCTGATGCAAATTCTCTTTGATATGCAATTTTAGATCCTAATACATGAATCGAAAATCATCTTCTGTCAGTTCATAAAAATATTTGATCAGACACTTGAGCCTGATATATATGTTTTAACCATAGTTAATATCCCAAATATCCTGTTCAATTTTAAAGCTGAAGCATCTCAGGTATGCACGTGTGTGATTATCCTAACCTTGAAAAACACTCTAATAAAAGTAAACTTAAATTGATTGGTTGCCATTTTAAAAACTAATTATATTGTATTTGCAAAACAGTTTTGCCTAAGGAGTATGTGTCCTCACAGTAAATTTGATTATTAAGTGTTATCCGATATTCTTTCAGGGAAAAAAATGATTGGAGAATTTGATCCTCCAAGTACAAATTCTTTTCCTGAAATACTTTCTCCTTTCTAAAATCGTAAGTCTGAACCTTTTGAAAGACCAAAAGGCACTTATACTTTGGACCTGATAAGGATGATTTGCAATTATCCCAGCCTATCTTCTGAGTACCCAGATTGATATTCAGGTCTTGAGGAATCTAGCAACGCTACAAGCTAGACTATTGAAGTTGTCCTAAATTTCTTTTATCTGGAAGATTCAATTAAGGTTTATGACAAATCCATTAAATGCAGGAAATAAACTCCATTCTGGAGCTGTCAAAAAAGGAGCAGAGGATAAGCTAGGTAAGGGAGCCTTGGGCATGCCTGACACTAGTCAGATTTCATTGTCAGGTGATGGTCCCAGGAGGTGTATGGACTCAACCGCTGATTGACAGCTCATTGGTGGACCTTTTAGTGCGGGAATATTACAAATGCTAGAGCTCCCAGGGATGATGGGTATAACTCTATCATCAACTTACTACTTACTTTATATAGTCCTATATATTTTCAATTCTTTAAACTAAGGATCACCTAATAGCTTTCTTTATGCTGCACAGAGACTATTTTTGCTATTAACTTTCACGATAGAAGGAAAATGAAATTTTCCCTGTGTTTGCCTTTAAAGATTCTTGATATCAGCTAATTAACATTTTAAAAGCTTTTGACACTGAAGGATATATTTAAATAAATATTTGCCTACGAAATCAATGTTTTGATATATTTTATCTTATAAAAAATTCTATTTAATAGCCCATGCAATGATATATCTGGTGAATAAACTATTTTAAGTATAGAACGAGTTTTTGAAGTATAAAAATAGCTCAAACATTATCCCTCTAAATACACAGACACACACACATATACACCTGTTGTCAAGGAACTCTAAGAATGTAGATTGACAATCATGCATTTAAATAGATATCCAAATGTTCCCTTTGAATACTGAAGCTGGCCAAAGAATATCATTTTGTTAATTTTTATGTTGTTTACACATTTATATTTATGTAGAAAATTTATGCCAAAAAACTAAGTTGTTTTGTATTTTATTAAATTTATCTTTCTGGTGTCCTTGTGAGGTTTGTAAAATCAATTTACAGGAAGAAAATTATAATAAGAGAAAATTTTAAAATTTTTTAAATGTTAGAATTTTTTAAATTTTAAAATAAATGTTTTAAATTCTAAATAAATTTTCATAGTCATACTGTCTGAATAATGATCAACACTACAACCAACCACCAATGACTGCTAGACACATGCTATATCCATAATACCTGAAAGACAGAGACCTCTCTGATACCCCATTTTGAAGATGGAAACAGCTAATTGTCCATTTCTCAAAAAGTAGGCCAATTTGTGATATTTCTAGACACATATAGGAAAATTTGACATTTTTCAGTGATGGTTACATACAATAAAACTTGTAAACTAAATTGAAAACAAATGACCAAATGAATAAATAAAAAATAGAGAAAAAAATAAGTGAATGAAAAAGAATAGGGCTAGATATTGAACTTTTGCATCTTACTGGTTCCCTCATTAATTAATGGATTGATTAAAAACTTTGCATATGTTCGTTTTATATTTGTTTGAGAGTCATGATTTTCCTTTTCTGAGAATTATTCCCTGGCAGTTTGGGGGGGACCCACTGAAATGCCCAAGATGCCTAATGTAGTTATTAAAGAACATTGTTTGAATTCATCTCTAGCATTATCTAAGCTAGGCATGACTTTTCTTGGCTCTAAGAATGAATCCCAAGAACCAATAGAATACTAAATTTACTGACTCTCTAGTTTTTCATCTGATCTTGTATTTTTTGTGGGTTTTATGTTATTTATTTTTGGTTTGCACAAGGATGTTAACTTTTTTATATTGGTGGTAGAATAGATTGAGAATCTGACCATTTGGTGATGTCTATCAAGCTCATAATAGTAACTCTGTTCTGTCTGGTAAGAGATGACAGAGAATCTAGTTGTTAGTTGTTTTGTTTATCTGTTGGTCTATGCATAAGCTCAAATCAATTAAGAAAATAGTTAATGTCCACTGGCAAGGAGAACAACTCTGAACTATGGACTGATGAACTTTTGACCTGTAGTTGACATTATAGATCAGAACCTATTTGCCTCTGTCTTTGTGTCCATAAATGAGATAAACTTTTACCACAGGGGTTATTAATAAACTAGAGTGTAAAGTCCCTTATTTAAAAAATGACCTGCCAACTAAGTTTTTCTATTCCAAAGTCCACATTCACATAAGTAAAGTGAATCTTTGGACAAATCAGACTGGTCTATTAACTTTGGATTAGAAAGAAAGTATCTTTTCTCTGCTTATGATTGGACATGCCAAAATAAAATTTACATTTTATAAATTTTATATTTTTTACATTTGTCATAAGGCTTAGATTAACTTCTTCTTCTTGTTTATTGATCAACAGTAATTATATATTGTAGAATGACAATTTAAACATAACTTCCACAATCTCTAGGTAACTAAACACTTATGACTAATATTGAATTACTAAATAATTTTTGGATATCTAGATAATTTCTTCATAAGAATACTAAAACATTAATTACTAATTCAAGTTTATATTCTTTTAATTTTTAGTTTTATATTCTATAGAGTAGATATATCTTTGAGTCTCATTAATAAATCTGTTCATTCTTTACCAATTTAAGAAGGTGTGCAACATATAGTTTGATAAAAGAAATAAGACCTAGTGTTTGCTAAATCAGTAGAGTGACTATAATTTACAATATTCTATTGGGTTAAGTTTATATAGGCAAATGTTATTAGCATAAATACATCAGAAAGTACATATTTTATGGGTAAGTTCTTGATATTCATCAACATCCTCACTATCTATAATATATTCTTATCCTCAGAAAACCAATGATGAAACCTCTGACATAATTATTTACTAGAGATTTTTACTCTCTTCTATCCTGTTATTTTCAGTTATTATAATAAATTAACCACAGTCACTCAGTCTTTGTCATCTATACATCATTTCTATTTTCACAAATGCTTACCTGAAGGCTCTGCTACAAGCTAGAACCTATGTCTTCAACAAAAAGGGAATTCCCAGAACCTCATAGCAAGTACTCAACCATGAGCTCTAATTATTGCTAATTCAAAGAACAAACTTGACTACCAGCTACCAAGCTGACACACTTGAACAACTTTCAGACCACACCAGTGGACAGAGTCAGATTTCCAGGACATATTTTGTCTGGAAACAGGTGAGTTTCTGAAAGCAAGCAGCTGATGGAAACAGCAGAGTAAAAAAACTAATCATATGGACCAAATGAACTTAAAAGGGGAATTTAATCATGATTATTAGTTTGAATTATTGTCGGTATTTTTTTAACTCTCCAATTTTAGAGATATATAACCTTTGTCTTTTCTTCTTAATCTACTTCTAACCCTTGCTATACTACTTTAAACTGAAATGAAACATTTTTAATGACATCTGATTCTCACTGACCTCTGAGAATTCAGAAGGAAATACTTCTACTGATTCTCCTTAATTGGTCATTAATGTAGTTATTTACATAGGTTCAATTATAAATTTGTCCTCTATTCTAGAAAGATATCATTGGATAAATCAATTATACTGCCAAGACAGTTCTTAGAGGGTCATATATGAGACTAAGCCTCTTTTAATCACATATGACAAGCCACTACTAAGAAATAAGGGTTGGTCTTATATGTGGAGCCAATGCCAACAAAGTCCTCCTAGGAAAACGGAATTAGTATCTGACTTACGGATCTGCAGTCTCACGGGTGGTAGCAGCGTCACTTTCTGTGAGACCAAGGACTGTAGGAAATTCAGATCTAGGAAAGAAACAATTCACCTGAATTTATAGATTCTGCAGGTAAACTTAGTGGAAAATGTTTATTGGGCTTTGTTCCTACACTCAGAATAGAAGAGCAAATAATAGAGCCTTTAAAAATCCAATCCAAAATTCTTCATAAAAATTTTCAGAACAAAGTTAAGCCTCTAGCTTTATCAGTTGTTCAATACTTCATGGCTCTAAATTACCAAAGCAAACTTAACCCAGCCTTTATCATTAACACTTTTGCTGTTATCTAAATACAAATCAGCTCAAAGCTAATGAAAACAGCCTTTTTTATGATTAAAAAAAGTCTTTGAAAATTATTTATGATCTCAAAGGAAGAGTCCCTTATGACTTGTAAAATATTTATTGTGATTTTACCTTTAGTAGAAATTGTTTGGCTGGGCGCGGTGGCTCACGCCTGTAATCCTAGCATTCTGGGAGGCCAAGGCGGGAGGATTGCTTCAGGTCAGGAGTTTGAAACCAGTCTGAGCAAGAGCAAGACCCCGTCTCTACTATAAATAGAAAGAAATTAATTGGCCAACTAATATATATAGAAAAAATGAGCCGGGCATGGTGGCTGTAGTCCCAGCTACTCGGGAGGCTGAAGCAGTAGGATCACTTAAGCTCAGGAGTTTGAGGTTGCTATGAGCTAGGCTGATGCCACGGCACTTACTCTCTAAGCCTAGGCAACAATGCGAGACTCTGTCTTAAAAAAAAAAAAAGAAAAAGAAATTGTTTTATTGTTGTTTAGCTTTATTTGGTTAAAATGTCAAATATCCTGGGCTGTGATATTGTTCCTCCAGAATTTAAAACATAGGCCCAAAGTTTAGATTTTTCAGGGGAGACATTTTTGTACTCTAACCCCAGCAGAGATAAAATTCCTAGTTATAGCCAAGGATCTTGCTAGGATCTCAGTTCTGCACTGTCTCCTTCAGTCCCAAGGGCCTGTGTGCTGTCCCCACATGGCAATTCCATAGCTCCCCCCCCACCCCCCGCCAGAGCAGATGGAGCCACAAGTCAGTATTTCATTCGGTTTTCAGTTCACTCTTCATTTCTGGTGTTTGATGATTTCTTTGTTTCTTTCTTACATGCTCAGCTATGAATTTAAGGAAATTTTTAGAGTATTTTATTCAGCATTTCTGGGCTGTGAATTTAGAAGGCCTCTGTATTATTTTTGTTATCTTATTTGAACCAAGAAAAGCCCCTCTCCCAATATTATACCACATTCATGCACTACTCTCACAATTAAAAAAAATATTTTATAAAAATAAATATGCTTCACTATGTTACCTATTTTGTCTCAAAATTTTATTATTATTAATAAAGCATTATTATTTTTAAACTCACGTAAAGCCTACTAACAGTATATATAAAATCTAGAAATCCACAATTATCAGTGTGTTATTTTTCACCTAGAATGGCCCATCTAACACCCTGAACTTGCATTCTTTGAAGCCTACTACCAAAGTCATGTAAGCTCTCACTTGTCACACCAAACATCTTCACCTTCGTGGGGATTTGTTTCTGAGCTGATAGGCTCACCTTTGATAAGTTTCAACACTGGTCCCCTACTGACCTTTTCTCCTCAATTCCCGTCCCACCTGCACTTTTAGTTTCACTGGCAATGTGCCTCACAATAGCCCAGATATGCCTCTAAATCATGGTCCCTGTGATTAGATCTCACAGCTGCCCTCAAATGTCCCAGATATAATACTTCATCCCAATCCCATGCCCACAGATGACCCTCAACTCACTCATGCTGGGCCTTTCTGAAATGTGGCTTACAGATAGGCTATCAAGACCTCATCCCTTGAGAACCTGGCATCCCTCACATGTCTGACCCACTTCCCTGGTCTGACTAACCTCACGGCCTCCAGAGCCTAAGCAATGACATCCCTTGCCTAAGGCAAACATCAGCACGTCACTTCAAGTAGGGCACAATTTCTGGATCTGAAGTACATGACATTTCAAAGCTGGCATTGTTCTACAAATATACTTCACAATAAAGCAAAAGGACATTGCAAAAGGGAAAGGCAATTTTCTCCAACCAAAGGGAAAAGTAGCTTCTCACTGACAAAATTACTGACATCTAAAACCATTAATGAAAAGAAAGAAAAAGAATCAAAGTCAGGGTGAGAAGAATGAGGATGTAGTCCTTACTCTGCCCCTTGCTAGCCATGAAATATCAGGCAATCATTTAACCTCATTGAGTCTCAGTTTCATTATCTGCCTAACAGGTCAGCTGAGAGAATTTTTAAATAAGATAATGCATGTGAAAATATATGTAAAGTTAATATGTCAAATTAATATAAATGATTACACATTAACATAATTATTATTAGACCTCTTGGTCAGGAAATAAAATTCATGAAAGTTTTGCAAAATTTACTCTAAGAGTTTGAAAGTTTGGCCATATTGAACAAAAAATAATTTCATTCCTTTAATTACTGATGGATAAATCTATATACTTTAAAAATTAGGTGAAATAGGTAAGAATTTATTAAACAGATTAGTACATATAATGCTTATCTAAAATGAGCATAACATTTAGCCCCAAATATGCATTTCTTTCCTCTTCAACCCATCCCCAGGAATAGTTGTGAAACATCAGAGGGTTAAAATAGGCAATAAAAGATACTCTGACCATGAATAGTTCACATTTTAGAATGAAATGATTGGCAGAAACAGGTGATTTGTTCCACCCATTCAAGTTAACCTTGAATCTCCTCTGCAGTATCAAAGTTGTCATTGAGTCTGAACTTTAACATAGTAACAGGGAACTCATTACCTCAACAAGAGCCCCTCTGTTTTCCTTAATTTGAGATGGACTGTCTCACCCTGAAACTTCTACCATATAAAGTCAATTTAATTTATGTGAACAGGGGAAGAGAGAGAAGAATGAAGAAACATCTGCTCCCCCCCCCAAAAAAAAACAATAGCATATATTTTTAAGCTCTATGGACATTTTAATGAAAACAATCCCAACCAGGTATTGTAGAGAATGAGAAAAGTGATGTCATGATGTAATTATACAAGTGATGCACATTTTTGTGTAGAGACTCAACAATGTGCTACAAATATAATACTTAACCCTGAACTTCATGTATTGGGGATTATTTCTTTTAAACAACTTTCATTGAATCAATAAACTAACATTTTTAAAAAGTCTATCTGAGCCCTCTAGCTAATTTTTCCCCATATTTCCTTTTCTCCAAGTTAAACATCCTGTAATTTCAAATATTCTTTGTTGTGTGGTTTTGTGTTCTTCTGCCATTTCAGTCACTATTTTTTTAACACGCTCCAGATTATCTCTGTCACTTAAATTATGGTGCTCAGCATGAAACAAAACACTTCAAGAGATATAACTAATAAACCTTTGCGTTTTCAATTTCAGGTAGCAACACACTTTTGTTAATGCAGCCCAGGATTGTGTAAGTTCCTATTTGTGACTACATCACACTCCTAACATATTGAGTTTTTGGTAATTAAAACTCCTAAATCTTTCTTGCATATCCTTTTTTAATATGTCCTATATACAGTATTTAGTCATCTGAATGTTGAGATATGTATCCAGAGCCTTAAATGTATTCTTGATGACACTTCACTGTGTCAGATACTTTCCTATCTGAGAATAATTCAGATACTGGGGTTTAAGGAGCAGAAGCAAGAGTAGAAGTGTGGCCTTATTCCATTGGTCAAGATAGTCATAGAACACCTCTTTTCTTTCTTCAAGCTGGTTCTATGTACAAGTTTGATAACTTGGAATTCTATAGCCATGACCAAGTAGTTAACAATAATAACTATGTTTTTGAACATTGGCCATATGCTTGACATGATTTATCCCACTAATCATAATAGGCAGATACATTTATGATAACCATTTTAAAGAAGAAACTGAGGCTTACAGAGATTTGGTAACTAGCCTAAGTCATACTCCAATAAGTGATGGAAGCAGGATTTGAGCCCAGAGAGTCTGAGACCAGCACGCTAATCACTGCAACTATATCATATCAAGTTGCCTCTATCATTCATTAGAAAATGAATAAAATAGGGTCAAGGACAGAGTCTTAAGATATGCCTTAATGAAACAAGACTGGTGACACTGATTTAGCAATAAATAATCTCTGGATATAGTGTTTCAATCATTCTCTTAATATCAGTAACACTCAGCTAATTATCCATCATCTTAATGCACAGCAATCTTGAAAGACTAGGCCAATGCCTTGTTTTTTTTCCAATACACTGTTCTGTACATTCCTCTGTTCTGATCTAATAACCTCATAAAATAAGGAAATTGGATTACTTTGTTAATTTTTCTTCTTAGTAAATATATAACAGCCTCTAGGAGTCACTGCCTGCATTGCTAGCTGCTCAGCAACTATTTATTTTATCATTGATTCAAAAATCTTATCTAGATAATTTATTTTCCCAAACTATAGTTTATAGGAGACTTCTTTTTTTTTTTGAGACAGAGTCCCACTTTTTGCCCAGGCTAGAGTGAGCGCCGTGGTATCAGCCTAGCTCACAGCAACCTCAAACTCCTGGGCTCAAGCAATCCTCCTGCCTCAGCCTCCCGAGTAGCTGGGACTACAGGCATGCGCCACCATGCCTGGCTCATTTTTCCTATATATATTAGTTGGTCAATTAATTTCTTTCTATTTATAGTAGAGATAGGGTCTCGCTCTTGCTCAGGATGGTTTCAAACTCCTGACCTGGAGCAATCCGCCCGCCTCCCAGAGTGCTAGGATTACAGGCATGAGCCACCGCGCCCGGCCTATAGGAGACTTCTTATCCTTTAAGAAAACTTGAAGAGCGTTTACCTGTCTTCATTCCTCCAATACTACTCTCATACTTCACAATGAAGAATTTTGAAGAAAAGATCATAGGACCTTACCAGGCTGTCTCAAATTTGTTGTGCTCCTGAGCACTACGTGCCTTGGCATGTAGCTAATTTTGTGTCAGCAGTACAAAATTGTGTTTTGAAGTGATAAAAAA